GCTCGAGGATACGTTTTCGTGTGCATTGCAGTTTGACGCCGTCGGTTCGGTACGACGAACAACAAATGCAATCGTGTGCGCACCGGTCCAGTGCCGCCAGATTGAAGAATAGTGCACTCGTGTGTATATCGCGGACGCATAACAGATGAAATGCAAATTCCACCCAAAATTTTAAATACGAATAATATTTTGATTCGAAATGCAATTTCCTTTTCATGCATTGATACTAGGTTCATGAGTGATCGTTCGTCGGCACCCTTGCGCCACAGCGGATCGTCGGCGCAACTGTGATGGAGCGCCGAAAGAGATAAAAGTATCCAAGCTTCACGCTCCACTACCGGTAAATAAATTAGTTGCTGCAAAAGATACAAACAGAAAACAAAACAACAAATAGCTTGGGCTGGCCCTGCAGCTGGCCCGTTTGTGTGGTCGCCACGCGAAAGTGCAAGTGGAGCACCGCCGGTCGCGCGTGGATGTGTCTCGTGTCTCCTCGCAAGAGACACCGCCCCCCAGCGCGAAAACACAGGGCAGGTTCACCCCGCCACCGTGTTTGACTTGAAATTTCTGGTAATTTTTTTCCCACGGAATGGGGATACCTTTTTGTTTGTGTATGCGTTCGAATATGTGCCGCTCCATCCCACTCTTCCTCGCCTCCCTGGCGTTTGCTGTTGCAGTCAGCAAGCAACTGGGGAACGCGGAGGCCTCTCCCTCTGCATCCGAGGTGGCTCTGCATCACGACGAAGCTCAAGTGAGAAGTGAAGAAGTCTTTGCTCGCGAGGCAAGCTTGAAAGAATCCGGGAGGCGCTTCAGGACATCACTGGCTATCGCCTCTCTAGTGGCAGCCGTTGCTGCACTTGTATTTGTTATTTCCCACTGCTTTAGAGGGCTCGAATCCAAACGCACTTTTAGTGGCCAGGGAGTAGTTGCTCGACGACTTGCATGGGAGGATGGATCGGATGAGGAAGGAGAGGGGGCATGCGCCCCTGGTTACGGTTTCTTCGGTGGCGTACCCGTTGCTAAGGACGGATCAGGATCACCTGTAAGAGTCCTCGTTTACATCCAAGACGGAAAACCTTTTTTTCATCATCCTAAAACTGAACGGGAAGTTCCCCTTATAGTGAAGCATGTAGACGGCGTAGGTCTGATGCTGCACGAAGCGGGTACCCATTTTGACCTTGAATGGCTGATGTACCACCCAGACGAACCGAAGCCCTCAGAGGGAGGCGAATCAGCTGGAGAAGGAGCAGAGGAGGGTGAGGAAGCAGCAGCGGGTGGAGAAGAGGAAAAGGCAGACTCAGACTCCAGCTCCAGTGACAGCGAGGCTGAGGGAGGAGAAGAAGACAGACCAAAAGCGGAAAGAATTGTGTATAAACCCCCACAAGAAGAATGGACTCATGAGGAAAACCCGGAGTTTCCTTACGTGGTGTTCATAAGTGGCATGCCATTTCAAGTTGATGCAAACAACGGAGAGCTCCAAAAAGTTCTGTTAGAGACCCGACATGGCGAGCTTGTTTTCATGCATCCTGTATTCGGGCAGCCAATGAAGCTTGGTCTCGTTGAAGGGGACCTAAGGAGTTCAGAAGGCTTTACGGTCACTGAATTAGTTGAAAAGATTAAAGAAATGGGACCGCCATAGTAAAAATCATTTCCTGTCCTCCAACAACCAAAATGAAATTTTAAAAAGTCATATGGCTTTCCCCGGGTTTTCTTATGCATTGGCAGGAGTCAATCGAGAGAACCAAAAAGCATGAGTTTTGGGCGCTTCACCTTCCCTTTTTGGATCCGTGATCAGGATCATCGTTTGCCCCCAACACTGTTACCGCCAGTTTGTTTTGTGGATAACTCGCTTTTGTAAGACGCCTAACGAATTTTTAGTTTTCAATATCTGCGTACTGCTTAGTCCATAGAAGCAACGCAAGAGGGAGTTACGGTGTAGCATGACAACGGNTTCAATATCTGCGTACTGCTTAGTCCATAGAAGCAACGCAAGAGGGAGTTACGGTGTAGCATGACAACGGATGCGACTGCGTAGCCCTGTTTCACCGTAACGCAGACGAGTATGGTACTTCTGAAGTGGTGAGCAGAAGGTCTGAATTGCTGCTTAGAAGATACAGTAGGGATATGAGCTGAGTTAACTTCGCCCTATTTTTGTTGCTTAGGGGCAAGCGGCGGAGCGTGGCACCGACTTTCATTGTCTGTCGTGGCGTCACGTTGCAGTGTACCCCGTCGGCTGCTTGGAAATAGGTCTCGGCGCTACACACGGGGCAAGTTCACTGCAGCACCATCTTTAGAGGAAAATTACTTCTGGATAGAGCTTCGTCCCTTTTTGCTAAAAATCCACTATTCTTTTGGGTTTAAAGGTGTCCTCATTTGCCATACCCCATCGGCTCATCGATCCATGTTGCAGGATGCAGTATGGGGAAGGCAGGGGGTTAAGGGACTTCCTCCCTGCCTTTGCTTTACCGCATCATAGTGGAGCTCAGACCGCAGAATTGTAGAAGATTTTACGGACAGGGCGAGCTCCGAAAGCTCCGGAAAACAGTTCTTGCGAACGTTCGCTGCCATCTACATTGTGGAAGCGGGGGTTGCCCTTGGTGGTGGTGGTGCCTCAAGCAGCCAAATAATGGCATTTCTAAGGGAAAGGAGCTGCAAATCTAGGGAGCGCGAAGCCAGAAGGGGGTCCTACCTTGTCAGCCGCAAACAGAAATGTCCCCGTTAGTGTGCAGCAGCCATTAGAACGACCGCTTGTAGCTAGTGCTGGTCTTATCAAGGTGTCTTGGTCGCAAGGCACAGATTGCCCCTGCCATGCCAACAGTATGCCCCGAGCTCAATGCGCACTAAAACGGCAGTAGAACATAATCTAGCCAAATCATAATTTCCGTAGGTTCTGGCCTGAGCGTGGTGTTTGCGATGAAAACCAGTAGATAAGCTGGGCTTGTATATGCGCCGTGCCTGACAGATCAGCAAGACGCTTGCACGGGAAGCGCAGCCAATTTAGTTTCGAAATCGTAAGAGAGCAATAAGGGATGCAATTTAGGTTCTTATATTAGCCTGCTCATATTGGGCTCCTGTAGGTAAGGGGGCATTACGGGAATGTTGCTACTGCTGGAGAAACATTGTACTGAGCAGCGGGCTCTGCTGATGCTACGTATGCATCCTACGTCAACCCTCCCGGGTTCAAACTCTTCATCTATGCGCTAAACGCAACCTGTCTCCACTATAATTGCATAAATATTCAAATATTCGTCCTTAAAACAAAGTTGTATTCGAAAAACTTAAATAGTCTGCCGCGCGGCAGTCTCTCAGCCACAGCGTCTGTCCTCCCAGCCAGCCCCAACGTGTTTCTGCCGAGCATTCGTGACATGGATATCTCATATTCTTACCTAGAATATTGCCATTTATATCTACTAGTATTGTATTTGTCATCTTTCATCTGCTTTCATCTGACAAGGTCTCTGAATGTTCCACTTGAGCTCCATTCTAATGCCTGTGCAGTAAGAACAGCTCGCTCTCGCTGGACCATTGGTTTGTAATGACAGCGCTGGGCTCAGGCAGCATAAGGCTATGAATATGAACTGTTTGCCTACCCAGTCTACTTGAAATCAACATGAATTTGAATTTCGCACCGTCTTGATGGCTGTCTGAAGGACTGAAAAATGGTCAAATAGTCAAACAGGAACAAACCGCTGAACTCCATAGTGGTCGTTGCTCGGTTCGTGCTTGAGGCCCGGACGACGGGGCTGTGAGTCTAGGGTACTCTGACACTTCTGTTTTGTCTTGAATAGAGGATATATATTCAACATAAATCTTCTGTCCAATAGTTGGAGGAATCTGCATGAAAACCCACCGTGTGCATCGCCCTGGACATACTTACCTAGGGTTTTCCCCAGCCCGCCGTCACCATCGCTCGTGGTTCTGCGATACCCTGTTTGCGACAATTTTCGGCAAAAATCAAACCAGCTTAGTACTTTCAGCCGAGAATGCCTTGAAACAGTATACATCTAGCAGAATTACTCTTTGGTGGCCCTTACACCTGTCCGCCGCCGACGGCCACGGACTCTGTACACCCAGGGGAAGTTGAACTAACACAGAGATTCCGCGTGCCTTCAGTAGAAACCCCTTCATTGACACCGCCATGGCAACCCGTTTGGCTTCGTTACTTCTTCAGGTGCCTCCCTGCATACATATGCATTCCTCGAGTGCCCGGTCGGGGGAATCAGACAGCAAACTAGCCTCAACGCGTGCAGGTAGGCTCCCCCGTCAGGATCAGTCTACCTGTAGAACAGAAAGAGATTGCAAAAGATTGGAGGGAACCGTTTCACCGCCAGCAGCATCCCACAAGAAAAGGCTTCGCTGTCCTCTGCAGGGGGCTGCAACAGCAGACAGGGAAGTTGAGTTGCCAATATCAAGCCAATGGGCTCACTCTTTCTCTGTGAGGCCAAATGGATGGGTGAAGGGTATCATCGTGTTAGCTCTAACACTAATGTGCCTTGTGCAGCATGTCGCCTGCGTTCGGCCCTTGGGAGGCGACCAACTTGAATGGCCAAATGCCCCTCAAGTGCACATCGGCTCGAATGAAAAGCTGCAGGCTGAAGCCATCAGCCTAATGAGGCATCAGTTTTCTCAGATGGCCAATCAGAAGGTACTGGAAGCTGAGGCAGAACCCTCGTTATCCTCTTCTCAAAAGTTAACTACAAAGTCCTTAGTCATGCTGCAGCTTGACGGGTCGGCAGCAAGCGCTGCAGGAACTCGATCTGCAGGGTTCCTCGACAGCGCAGACAACCTGGGAGCAGTTCTTGTGGGGGAGATGGACGGAGACGGAACTATGAGAAAGGTGATGGAAACGGGACTGGATATGCGTGGGGGGCCTTTGACTGCTGAATCGGCACCCTATTCATTCTTGAATTGGGGGCAAATAGGGGGAATGATGCAAAGCCCAGCACTGGCTCATACCGGTATGCCAGTGTACATGCCTCGCCAGGTTGTTGGGACCACCATCGGGCTGGATTTTGATTCTCCTGCCACTTTCCACGGGCCTCTGTTGGTGCTGCTTATGGTCTGCATCCTCATCTTCTTCGTCGTGCTCCTTCTGTGCTGCTGGATGGTCAAAAGCAAGCAAAAGCATGACAAATATATGGCAGAGAAACTCCCGCGCTAAAACCCACAAACAGTCTAAACACCCTGAGTAAAGAAAACTGCGGCGCGAACAAGCATACAAAGGGGCAGAGCGACAAACGCGAAGGGAGTCCTGCTACCTACTGCCACTTCTCGTTCACATCGCCCAAAGGCATCTGTGTAAGCATTTCAAGGATACGCAGCAGAGAAGACCACCGACGGACCTTCGTCCAGAGAAACTTTATGCTCTAGCCTTCCCCAGCAACAGGGGACTCAGGGTGATGGAAACAGGATAATCAAGCAGCCCAAACAGCCTTCGAAAGCTGTCAACTTTGATTTGATATTTGATATTTTGTCGTAATTTATTTGCTGTGAAGTTGCTAGGCCTCCTCCTAGTTCATGTGGCCTTCACTACTCGGAGCGATAGCCGCTCTCCCTGCTCTGTGTTAAGCGCATATAATTTTATTTTTCGCAGCCTCGAACTTATCGGCTCGCGTGCTCGCTGTGGCGCGGCGGTAGGCCAATGGGCCTTTATATTTTCCTGGCGTTTCACAGCAGACACACACTGTAGTATGCTGTGCGCATTGCGCATGCCCACCCATGCTCAACACACGAAACTTATTCCACTGCAGCGCCTCCGCGCAGCTGTCTCAGAACTCCTGCAGTGTGTATAGATCGTTCAAAGCAATCAGTGTCTCTCCAAAGCTTCGATTGCATAGAGGAGTCAGTGCCACTGATGTTACTACCGGATTGCCTTAACGGTGCCGTAGTATCCCTTTCTCGTCTGGTTGAGACCAGATATAAAAGGAGGAAAACTAAAAAGCAGGTGTAGTGCTGAACAAATAAACCCCGCTTTGTTCGGGTGTGCATTCAATGCCTTTCGCGCTCACTGGGCCTCGGAAATCCCTTAAGGTCCAGCAAGAGCGTGCAAAGGCCCATCGGCGAAGCAGTGAGAGTAATAAATAAAACCGAAAAAATTTTGGCAAGCGGAGGTCCCGCTGGGTTTTCAATACACCCTACTCGAAGCCATATGCGCCCACATACAGCTCCCCAAGGCGAAGCCATTCTGTCAACAGAAGAGTCCTCGAAAGACAGTTTGGGGCTAACCCTATCCGTATACAGGCCTCCAGCGGTCAACGCCTGAGGTTTTTCCTCCCTGTAGTGCAGCATCCCTTGTCCTCACCTGTTTAAGCTTCCCTCAAGTTCACTAAGCCCTAAATTCTAATCGGGGAGGCAATGCCATTGCAGTATGCAAGGAGTAAGCAACGTCAGGGGCTGAAAAACTCCGCCCAAGCATTCCGCACAAACCCGAGAGCTGCGTTACCAACATGCGCCTGCGCACTGTCGCCTGCATCCCCGCTTTCGCGGGGAGTCCCTGTGGGCAGCACTACCTGCGCCCTGCAATTGGGGCAGGTGGCGCTGCAGCGCAGCCATGCTCTCGCACACTCCCAGTGAAAGGCATGGCCGCAGGTCAGGGTCACGGACTCTGTGCCGTCTTGCAGCTGCAGTGTGCATACGGTGCAGCAGGGCGCCTCCAGCTCCCCCCCGACTGCTGCAGCCTCTGCCGAAGGAGAGGATGTTGAAGATTGAGAATGCTCTAATTTACCTGGTGAAACTACTGCAGCAGATTCTCTTGCGTCTTTTTCTGTTCCCTTCTTCGCGTCTTCTTGGGGGACTCGCGTGCACAAGTGACCATACAAGCGTTGATATTCAGAAAAGCAGAAAGGCCCCACAAGCTGCCGCTTCACTGCCGCCTCCAAACCCTCGTCTATCCCTCGAGAACCTCCCCGCATGCCTCCAGAAGGCAACACCCGCAGCAGCAACTGCGGATCCAAGGACTGAACACCCCAAACCCAACACTAAAAGTAAACATGCTGCAGTAAGCATTCAGCAAGCACGTAACAGCTGAGTCGGCAGGCAACCAACAGCAGCCAACGCCCAATCAATTCTCTAGTTACAGATGCCCCCACCAGCGGAAAAATCTACAACCCAAACGATTGCCCCTGCACAAACCCTAGCACAATGCCGTAGGGCAAATCGCAACCCAAAACAGTCGGTAGCCCCAACCCTAAACCAAACCTCGCACCAAACCGTGGCACAAACCCCAAGGCAATTTATAGCCAAAACCCCATTCGCAACTCCAACAGCTTTAGAGCCAAGTCACGCCAATCCTGCTAAGCTATCCACCGTCTACGGTTAATATCCTTGTCTAAACCTTGACTGGCTAGAGTACACGCAAGGAACCCCACGCACCTGCGCTGCTGCCACGATGGCGAAGGGCTGCACCCGCGCCGGCAGGCGACGGACGCGGGAGAGGATTTCTGGAGGCAAAATGTCGATGAGAGAAGGGTTCAGAGACCCTGAATCGCACGCCACAGCAGCATAACTGATGGCCAAATACCACATAGTAACACACGGCCACCGATGTGTATAAACACTCAAGTGCGGACAAAATGCACAGTTGCTTATTTCATGGCAAGAAAGTACGTATATCCACATCTGTGCGCATCACTTGCGTATAATAAAGTAAATGTACTTATATATAAACGCGGATGAACAACCCTCTCACCGTACCCTCAAAGTGCACGACTGTCTCTGGACCGACGCGGGCGACAGGCACAGTGGACGGTTCCGTGGCAATAACCTTGAACTCCACGCCCCTGCAGCAGTCGAAGCCAGAAAAGCGCGTGGCACATTTTGAGTGTTCTCACGCGGCAGAGGGAAAAGTCAGGAAAATCCCCTGAGTGCTGTTGCTAACTGCATTCGGGTTGTGGCTGTTGCACGCCGGACCTGAATGTGAATATATCTCCCTTTCTTATTAGGCGCCAGGGCTGTTCCTTCAAAAAGGGCTGCAAATAATCCTCAAAGAGACGGAAAGAATAAGTCGTCGGCAACGTATCGGCAAAAGGCAGTATGTGAACTCGTCTGTATTCGCCCCAAGGATCCACAGATATATAAATTGCCTGAAGCACGCAAATCGCATTGGAAGCATTGCTCCCGTAGTTTGCAAGACAAAAGCCGCAGACGAGTAAAAACAATAAGACGCGCGTGTGTTGCGAATACACTGAACAGGAAGCCTCACCGTGTCTTTCCAGACGAAGCCTGGCCCGTTACCCGGATCTGTGGCCCACACGACGAAAGTTAAATCCTTAATAACCAGCTTTTTCCCAGGAAACACAACCACTGCGGCGTCTCGACAGTTGTCGCCATCCGCTGCTGTGGCAGGAGAGGAAGGGAGAGAAGTTCCTCCACTCCTTGCTCGAAAGTAAGGGGCCACAAAGTCATGGAACAGTACATTTTCGCTCAGGTTGAACACCCCTTTGCCTTGGGCTCCTGCTTTTGCGCAATCAGACCCACGCCCTGCTACACGTTGGTCACCGGAAGGAGATGGAAAGTTGAAATTCAGCTGCAATGTCCGTTGCTGCCGGAACAACGGTTGCTCCTGCTCCTGACCCTGCCGCTCCTCCTCATGCCTTCGTTGTTGTTCATCGCGCGAAGATGCTGCGGCGCCTTCCTCTGGCCCGGCGGCATCACTTAGGCGGAATGGGACACCTCCGCCCATCTCATTCTCACCACCAGAATCGTCTTCACCCGATCCCGAACCCAAGTCGGAATCGTCGAGTACGGCAGCAATGACCTCTTCCGCTCTGTTGTACTCCCGCGGCGGCCCATGCCGTCTCCGCCGCCTTTCGCTAGTACCCTCGGAAGCGCCCCAGTCAAAAGGAGAGCCTAACTGTCGACGACGGCGCTCTGCTTCGGCAACTGCAGCTGGGGCTGCTGCAGGATCCTCGGTACCGCTTCTGCCACTGCTGCTATTGCTGTTGCTGCCTTCAGAGATTCCGGCGACATCGCCTGCCAAGCGGTGGGACCCCTGATTTCTTTGACTACTGCGGCCGTCGTTGCTGCTGTTATTGTTGCTGCTCGCTCTGAATTCCCCCACAACCCCCCTCTGTAATGCCTCCGAGTACGAGGCAACGCCTGCCCGCCGTGCGTAAGCGCTGTTTGGGTGGATGAGGGCCAATAGCTGCACTCGGCGCAAAGGCTGGAGAGGGCTGCCAGAAGTGAAGACGACTGTGGATGAAGTTATCACGCCTGAGTGCGGCAAACATGCCACGACAATGTATGTGTATTCGTCGTCAGGTGCTTCTGAGCTGCTGCTCCGTTCTCTGCGTTGTTGCTGTTGCTGCAACTGCTCCTGCTGCTGCTGGTGTTCCTGTTGTTGCTGTTCTTGCTCCTGTTGCTGTTGCACTCTATGCTGCTGCTGCTTCTGCTGCTTCTCCTGCGTCGTCGTTTTAGGTTTGGAGCCCTTCGACTCCTTGGTTGGCCGTCTGACCTTTAGGTACAGGTACTGGCGAACAGTTTTCCCTTCCTTCATCAGCCCAGTGAGGGCGGCGAATACCCAAGCCTTTGGAGCCTCTCTAGAAACAGGAAGCAGATGAATCTTCTCTACGGCCGCCCTCTCGGCAGCTGCGTTATCATCGCCGACAGCGCGCGACTCCAGTTGACGAACTGAACTGCCAGGCTCACTGCAAGAATGGCGGCCTGCTGATGGCATCGGCACTACTGTAACTCCCCCAGTGTCTCTAGGGCGGTGAATGCTGGATGCGCCCTGCAGTTCCCTTGTTTCAGTTGTTGCCGGCGGAGCTGGCTGTGCTGCGGAACCCAACATCGCAGTCTGCTCCGGACTTGCGACCTCCGAAGATGTCCCCCCAACGACGCAAAGGGGAAAGGCGACAAGACGCAGGTTTAAACAAAACTAAAGACAAATGAAGGACACGTGCATGGACGGACAGCAAGACAGACAGGAGAGCCAGGATGGCGTCAGCTTCAGGGCAATCACTCCCCAGCCGCCCCCCTTGTGTGGATATCAGGAAGCTGTAAGAAATGGCAAAAAGAAGGGCATTTGAGGAAAAAGACACGAAGAAGGACTGCAGATGTCGCGAGCAGTCGGTAACCCGGCTGCGCAGTGGAGGATCCGTCCGTGACGGCCGTTTCACAGAAGTGTGACAAACTGGGCGAATGTTTCAATAAATCCCATCGCTAACTAAGGCCATGAAGCCCGTGCCAACGATAGGAACAACTTGTATCTGCAAACAAGCGAGCAATGATTCCGTCGGGTCACCTAGCACTGGTTTGTTGCGGGCACGCAACGAGGCAAACGCCACCTACACAACTCTAGCCGAGAAGACGGCCGCATTCTCTAGGCTTTACAATATTATAATGGTTCCACTTTTTATGAAACTCGCCATCTAAAGTAGCTTTCGCTTTCTTATTTATGCCTCATGGACAACTACCGCGGCCTGGCGAGCACCCGCGAGCACCGCTGGGGAGTGCACACTGCGTATGATGGCCGTCTGTCTCTTTACTCACGTGGATCCGGATCCTGTCTTCCCCCTTCAGTAGTCCCCAAGCATATAAAGGTCAATAGAACAAGTCGTAAACAGTCTGCGAGTTGCACGGCTTCCGGGACGTCGCATCACTAATCTTGTAGAAGGCGCACAAGACTCGTTCACGTTCGTACGCGTGTTTCTACATGCTTGAAGGCAGGCTACTGAGGGTAACGTAAGTGGTTAGCAATTTCCTACAGTGTTAGAGCGCGCCTCCAAAGGGTTGGTTATGCGTGCATATAGGCGCAACTCTTGGTGTAGCATTGCCCTTCCAAATTTAAAAGCAGAAGCGTAGTGTGAAGCTCGTCCGAATATTCCTGCTTGCGTACCGGCTGACAATGAGGGCAAATAAGGGCTCAACAATCGTCTATAATGTTACTGCGTGCAAGAGTGTGGCTTAGCTATGAATGTATGAGGTGTTGCGTTGCAGCACGAGTTGCAGCAGAGTGAGTTGCAACTCGTGCCAGGCCGCCTCGCTATACCCTGGCTCCAGGCCTTAAATTTTTCCACTCGTTGTAACGGGGGTCCTCGGCCTTACCAGAAGGCAATTGTGCTGCAGTAGAGTGGATTAGCAGCAGCAGCAGAGAGAGACTCAGCCATGGTGTGCGTTTATCAGCTCCACCGAGGCCACGAGAGAGAATTATAGGGGAAGGTGCGAGATGAAACTTATTATGAACCTCGAATGTACTGGACGCAGCGCAGTGCAAGATTGCTGCTGCTGCCCAAACTGTTGAGGAGCCCCTCCGGCTGGCGCGAATTGCGCACCAACAGCATATGCGCCAAAATCAGGACTGATAAACAAACGACCATAGCCGCGAAGACGGAGGATACTACAAAAAACTAGCTCATGAGCATAACCGCTGAGTCCAACGCAGCATTCGCCGGCTCTGGCTTTCTCGCTGAGCTGCATGTACACCGTTTTGACGGCTGAATGGCATCTGCATCATGCCCCAGCATTATTGTAATACATGCTAAAGCAGCAGCATGTGCGGGAGGCCTCTACATTCAACCATCTTTTGCTGGGTGACGAGGCAAGCGAGTGACTGTGCTGCTTAGAGGACGGGCAGGCGAATGATGCAAGACCGTCTGTCTGAAGCACGAGAGTGTATTTCTGCTTGCATGTAGGTTGGCAACTGAAAGCCCCAGAGTACGTAAAGAAATTGTCGATTATGTTGGTGGATGCAGCAAGAGGGGCTCGGCAATGCCTATATGTAAGCTGCCTTGGGGCAGGAGTTGCGACAACCTGCCCTACAACAAAAGACCGGCCGCCTCCTCTTCGCAGTTGCCACAGACCCTTGCGCCCCGGTGCCCAGGACACTGCACGCTGAAAGGAAAATTAATTTCTCTTTGTAAACTCCCTAGTATTTTGACTATATTGCAGCTCGCGACGGTCGTCTATATATATATATATATATATATATATATATATATATATATATATATATATATATATATATATATATATATGTTCTTCCGGCCGAAGGGGATGCCAATTGTCTTTTGGAGAGTTTCCGAAAAGCAGTTGACCTTCCCTTTCAGCCTACAAGGTGTCCTGGCCACAGAACAAAAGGGCCTGATGCTGCTGGGGCGAAATGGCCGCATTTGTTGAGTTGCAGCGCAGCTGGCTGCAGCTCCTTTCCTGAAGCAACCCCACATGCAGGCATCCCCGAGCCTCAGTTGCTGCATGAGCTTACACTCTAGGCAATTGGTTAAAATCACTAGGGCCCTTAGAAGCCAGCCTATATGCAACGCACGTTTCAGCATCTGACCGAGCCTGCTACACTGAGAACGCGATATTCGAGCCACAGAACAAGTGTGTTGATGCATCGTTGACTCTGATGATGAGGCAACGGAATCTTCCGACACCAGTACATAATCGCAAGAGCGGAAGCACCGTCGCACGCGTGTACAGGATGGAAGGAATCCTGGTGCATTCGGCTGCGCCAGACGCCGTTTGGCTACCTGGTGTTGCTTAAAAGCATTTTATCTATGGGTATAATATGGCGGCGAGAATGTGCGGTTAACCTGTTAATGGTAGCGGCTCTCTGTTCGTTTTCGTTTGGCCTCACCAACGACTGCATGCCGTGCTTGCCCAGACCACTTACCTTCAAAATTCACTGTTCGATGGAGCTCAGACACGATATGTTTCTTATTTAGCTGTATTAACATATTGTTGGATGAATTCCCCCGAGTTGGGCCGTTATCTTCCGTTATCGCGTGTCGTGGAATCTGGGGTGTACGCGCGGGTATTTCAGGCCACACCTAGGCGGGAGCTGAGGATTCGTTCATCTGTGCTGTTCAGCTTTGCCGATGGGCTCGATTCGCGTTATTTCAGACTTTGGATGCTCATTCTTGCCCCCTACTCACACGGAATAGTGTACAGCGGTAATGGCAGCTTTTTTTCGCCTCTTCGGCCAACGGCACTCCCCGAGAAGAAGTAGTCTGGAAGATGTAGCAGCCGTATCTCCATGTGAGAGGGAGTTACTGACTCACGGGAAACCTCAACTGGCTGCAGCGCAGCCCGCTGCTGCATGCTCTCACATTTCCGCAGAGGCCGAGGAGACGCCAGCATCATGGGGTTGCACACAGTCAGTGCTCGCAGGGCTTGCTATTAGTGTGTGTTTGGCGCTTTTCTGGACCTTGCCGCTGAAAGATGCGCTCCGTTATGTTGTGGAGTGCCAAAAGAATAGCCCAGCTACATACGTGTTCACTTACATCATCGCTGGACTGCTCGTCCCCGCTCCGCTGCTTTCAGTTTTGGCAGGGGTTTTGATGGGCCCTTCACCTCTGGCTGCGTTTGTGATTCTCTGTGGGAGTTTGGGTTCCGCCTGCCTAGCCTTTGCTCTATCGCGTTTCTTGCTACGGCAGTTTGTTGTCCGTCGGTTTGTGCGTCGCAGCAAACAGCTCCAAGCCATTGAGTTAGCTTTGCAGAAAGACTCTGTGAAGCTTGTGCTGTGCGCACGAATGATATTACCATTTACTTTCAACAATTATTTCCTGGGAACAACCCCTATATCGGCCACGACGTTCGCCCTATCTACGGCCTTGACAGGCATTCCCTTCGCCGTCTTGTATGCAATAATCGGAGGAGAGCTACAAAGCCTAGACAGCGCATTGGCTGCGAAGTCTTTTTCTCTTCAAGGGGCTGAAGTCAACGTTTTTGGGATATGCACGGTGTCGAAGAAGCACTTAGAGCTCGCCGGCATATGTGCCGGAATTTGTTTGTGCTTTTTTGTGGTGCGGACGATTAAGCAGTTCGCCTCTCGGGTGATTGCAGAGGCGCAACCCGAGTCAAGAGGATAGATGACGCGAGAAAAGGCAGACGGCTGCGCTCTGCCCAGCTTGTAGGCTGCGGGCATTTGAGCAAGGGGAGCAGGAGCAGTTGGTGGTGCTCTTCGGCGGTGTGTCACCTGTGAACTCCCTTGCGTTTATGCTTCTGAAGGTAGTGGACGTAATGAGTTAGAATCTAAACGCGTTTACGTACAGGAAGTAGCACTTCTGAGAGGAAGCGCCTGCTTTGCTACTGTTTTCATACGACCCCGGGGCGCAATTAAGCACGTTGAAACATAACCATAATTTTTTTACTGGTAGGCCCGAAAGGCATATTCTCGGTTAAAAGCGAACAGCAGCCAGGCAAAGCAGTAATTAGAAACTTATGTAAGGGTTCTTCTCCGGACCGTATTTCGTGAACCTCGTGTTAGGGGCTCGCTAGACTGTCGAAGGACTGAAGAACTCTGTACCCGCCAGGGACAGCCAGGCATTTCATTATTTGTTCTGTGGGAACGAGTACAGATGGTTGCAAAGTCTAGCGGTTACTGTCTGTGGGGACGCGTAACTTGCCAGGAGTGCAGCGCCGCGGTTGACACGGGCCGAGGAACTCGCCGAGGAACGACAGCTAGAGGGGGAAATAGATGCTTACCATAATCGCCTGAAGGCAAGCGGTGTTTACTTCGATCTCACGGGTAGGTTGCCGGATCCTCCGGTATCGCTCGCCCAGCGATACAATTTTGTCGCGTGCCCGGCTGGGTGATAAGATCAAGTCTCACTGTGCAAAATCGATGGGACTTTTTTGTAAGGGGATTGCTTATATAATATGCATATATGTAGTAATATATTGTTATTGGGTCACATACGGCCGGTGGGGGGTTTGAGCGCGTGGTGCAAGCGGCGAGCGGCACAGAAGCAGCCTAGAGATCGGCTGGCTCCAAGCCCATTGCTCGATGAGACGATATTTTTTGAAATTCTTCACCCTGTATCTACGTCTCGGGACCTTTTTCAACACCAAATTGATTATTTTTTTTAGTGTTTGGCTCTTGTTTTGCGGACAGTCGCTAGCCTTCCGACAAGCACTCGTGTCGCGGGTGCAGTAGCAGCTGTCTTCCACATCGGGCAGCATCGGTCAATCGATAGTTGACTCGTCGCGTGAAACCTGTATTAACATCTACCTCCTTATAACTGGTAGCTTTTTCCCCTCACAGTTGGGCGACATGGAGTGGGGAGGGAACTTACCGGCGCTCAGGCGCGTCGTTCGGATGCACTCAAGAGGCCTTATTTGGTTCGTTATCATAATTATACTGGTAAATCTTGTTGAGGCTTCGTGGGGCCCTCAGGCGCCTTCAGCAGGACCGGAAGATGTCCCCTCTGCAGTCCTGCAGCCTGTAGAGGAGCCACAGCAGAGGCGAATTCAAGAAATCCTTACGAGCATTGAAGGTGGTTCTATTCCTGCAACTGCATCACATTTTGAACGGCTTTTCGCGTCTCTACTTCGAGAAGGAGGTAATCGCACACTGGTCTCGAAAATTCATCCCACTTTGTTGGGGGATTGGGTTGTTTTATAAAAGCGCGGCAGTTCGTGTTTTCCGTGGGTAGCTTCGGCCTCCCAACTTCCGCATCAGTTTCTAAAGGTTCTTGTGTTTTAAGTGGAGGTTATGTGTCGTAATATCGGTTCTTCATCCGTGTGCGCCCTGCATTTAACTTATTTTCTGCCGGCATGTTTCTTTCCAGGAAACTACCGTGGCGGGGGACAGTTACGTATAGGGCGACTGACCCGTTATTTGGAGCAGGACGAAGTATTTAGTAGAAACACATTGCCATTCTTGGCCAGTGTTGCACGGCATCTATCGCATCTCTTCCCGCAGGTGAGGAGTCTGTTCCTAGTTGAGGGGCTGTGCTGACGTTTCGCTTCAAACAGCTTTCTCATGTGTAGCTGTTGCTTCTGTCTGTGTGGCTGCAGGGACTGAGACACATGACCAGATCGCACCCCTCGGTGCATTTGCGGCGAATTCAAGTGCTTTGTTTGTTGGCTGCAAGTTTCTTCGGGGTAATTCCTCAGAAGCAGCGGAAGTTGTTGCGCGGGTGGGGTACGTTGCGTCTAAATGCGCTGGATATGCACCACCGCGGATTCTTTGAACGAGAGCCGAAGTTCAGAGCTCTTCTGATTTACTTTAGTACCATGCAAAGGACCATGGGCAGCTGCTGGCAGCAGATGCTCAGGGACAATGACTTTACACGGGCGAAATGCACAGCCACTTGCTTGTGTCAAGAGGTTACCTTCGAGGGCAAGACACGAAGCATTTCCCCCNCCGACGAGATCATAAGTTTTTACTTGCACACTCCCGAGGCAACAACGTTTGAGGCGCCTGAGGGAGAACAAGTATCCCGGAGTGAAGTCGATGTTAATAAGATCATTACTGAGCCGCTTCCCCTCACAAACGTAACTGTCGATGTTTCTGGAGACATCACGAAGAGCGATGGGGACCTGCAGGTGCGTTGGGTCGCAGTCGTATATAGGGAATTAGAGCAGCTGGCGTCGTTCTGGAAGGAATGATATCTGCTGAAAGCCGCGAGCCGATCAGCACTTTGTGGGCATCATGCAGTCAGGTCTTTTCCTCTATTTATATGTATACATAATAGTTATATGTATACATAATAATCTAAAGGGTAGCGACTGGAACAGGCCGTTGCGATCGTTCATAGGCGTCGCTTTGGTGCGTTTGGTTCCTCAGGTTGACTTTGCAGACATGTATGTTGGGGGACTGAGCATGTGGGCGGGCCACGTTGCCCAGGAAGAACTGATATTTGCACTGAGACCCGAACTTCTCGTGATCATGCTGTTCGAGCAAGCCCTTAAAGATGATGAAGCAGTTGTTGTCAAGGGAGCTGAGAGCTTCGTACTGTATTCAGGTATCTACGCGCAGAACACGTAAAGTTACTGTATGATACTGTATGCTACCAGAAACTAGGGGGCCGTGGTTGTGCAGAGATGACGCATAAATTCAGTATCATCACTTCGTTGAACTCCTCCTGTGGCCTTGTGTTCACTCGATGTGCGCGCTTACATTCGTTGTGGTGTGAGCAGGATACGAAGATACCTTTCAGGTGTTTCCTCCTGTGGTTCCCGCTGGCTCTCACTGGAGTGTACACGGCCACACTCCTTTGGATCCGATGGGACGACGCGAAACAACTGTAGTCGCCATTGATGCCATCATTGTTAAGAATGAAAGGCAGCAATACTCGATCCAGAGCATGAAGAGAGAGATCCTTAAAGCAGCTCTTGGCTTTCAGGGTGACCCGTTTGAAGATGCCATTCATGAAACCAGGGCTGCGGTCGCGACTGGTAAATGGTAAGCAAGTTCAGTACTCTGTGCGAGCACCATCTTTGGTAGGGCGGGAGTTCTGGACTCCTAGAGTGGTAGGACTGTGCAGTGCATGCATGAGCAGGGGATGGATGTGTAATATGTAGAAAGTGGTAGAGCTGTGCATTGCGTGTGCAGGGGTTGTGTAATATTTGGGGGTGACAACGAACTAAAATCTTTACTCCAGTGGATATCAGCCACAGCTGCTGGGCGAGAACTGCACTACAAGGCATTCCGGGACAGGGCGTTGGCGCACATGGAGGCGACACTGTTGGCAATTCGCGAGAGGTTCCCCACAACAAGGGATCTGTTCGATGCAATTGTGCAGTGCATCCAACAAAGGGAAGAGAGACCTATGGGAAGCTGGAGCCTTTGGCAGGCGTTGCTGAATCTGAATGCAAGGAAGCCAGAGTGAAGCACCTCTGTTGTCGAACACAATGCGGGAAGTCGGACGCGGGTCCGCCAAGTCGGGCAACCCGTCGAACTTTTTGAGACAGGTGGATGTAACACAGTGTTTAACATGTCGTCTCAAAGATGGGCACGAGCGATAAATAGAACCAGCATCTTCGAAGTAGCACCACCAAGCAGGAAAATTCCCAATGCCGCTATGGCACACCTGGCACATGTTGGGGCTTGAAATATGTCAGCAGTGACAGTTTTCAAGAACTGCATCGGTTGGTCAGGAAGGTTGTCGGTGCACTGTTGATGGCGAGCACATGGATTCTACAATGTGCTCACGCGTCGAAGAGATTTCTGCACCCGAATATATTTTTCGGGTCCAGGCACGTCTTGACTCCACGTAGCACGGCCACACCTGTTAAGAGAGGCAGCGCAGAGCAAGGACCCCGAAGTCGCCCATCCGGCGTTCCTAGATGCTTGCATGAACGTCAGCGCAAAATCTAGTTGAAATTAGTATGTCATATATCCGTGCTCGAAAGGGCGTGACTTTGCAGTTGGCTTACTTGTTTCCCCAACAGCATTGGGCAGGAACTCGCGGCGCAGCTTTCCTATGCCGTGGTGATGTGAAATACTTCCCCCAATATCCATTATGACTTTACGTGCACCATCTTCAATTTGTTTATAGACCTGGAGATAAACAGTGGCGTTGGTTCGCCATTTACTTGCGTTTTTGCACGATAGGTTAGTGCCTCCCTTCACCGCACGTGGTTTACGTTACATCACTACTATAGCGTCGTACGCATTCGACTAGACAATGCGCAACGCATCACGCACGAAGGCATAACGGAAAAACCATCCGCCATGAGTACACTAGTCAATGTAAGACACCTACCCGGCAAACTAGGAAGAACGACAAACTGATACTATGCTCATATTGCGATAATTACAGGTAGACTTATAAAGAGCGCACGAACCTTCATGGGATCTTCCATGCCGGTCCAGTTGAATCCAAAGTAAAAGTACAGGACAGCTCCCGCGTCGTAGACCTGCGTCAGTCGAGTCATGACGAGGGGCGGATGTCGGATGCCTACACGTTTGCATTCCCTCGTTATGTAACTATGCACCAAATTTCGGCACTTGAGGACTAATGGCCATGCGATGGAAGCTTCAAATGACTCGAACACCCAGTAGTGGTCCATGATGAAGTCCCTGTATATGTCATAGACAGATGGTATATGTCATAAACAGATTGCAGCGGAAAAATCGACTACGGAAATAAAAAGGGACGCTTTACGGTGAACTACCCAGAAAGCGTATTCGGCGGTTCGAGGCTGTCTCACCGAACGTAGGCAATCAGAAATGTCATCTGATATCCCCTTTGTCCGTTCTTCGCGCCTGCTGGAAGGCCTCCAAACCTCCTTGCTGCCCTATAGAGATTCCGCTGCTGGGAAGACACTTCCTCCTTTGACCCTTCAAATAAAAGGGTACATGCGCACAGATCTTCCTCACGCCAACCCTTGACCGTATTCAGGTAGAAGTTCTTGATGCCATCTGTTAGTGCGTCTCTCAGCCCCAGGCCACCTGCGTATAGCAGCCGCGAATGGCAAAACATAGCATATTACTAGTAATAATATTATAATGCTGTGTTTTGCCTTCCGCATTATTGTTAAATGCTACTTGAGAAAACAGGCTTAGTCGCACTTACGGGGAAACAGCGGTGCAAACAAACACTGTAATGGGAGTACAAGCTGTACGCTCCACGAACAGGCCATGCAGAACAGGCCAAGTAACTGAGGAAACCTCACCTGGAGGGACAGCCCTGAAAAGAGAGCCGCACTGGGTCTGGCGTTTATCCATGAGACGGATACTCGCCGGTTGCAACTTATTGAGAGCCACGTGTCTCATAAAAGCGACGCCAACCTCGAAATTTGGGAATACTAGACATCCGTAGATCTTTTCCTGAGAAAAAGCACTACACGTAGTAACGCTGCCTTGTAGCAGTGTTGAAAAGCACGCACCTCCTCGGTATTTTTGACATGTTATCGAGCTGTAGTTCTCTCGTTCCCGTAAACGCACCTGTGGGAGAAGTTTGACCTTAAGGACCACCTGTGTAATGATTCCTAGTGTGCCTTCACTGCCCAGCACCAACTGCTGCACAGATGGGCCGCTTGAGACGCGGGGGGCAGCAAGGCGCTGATTAAGAGTTCCCTGTGGTGTTACCATTACTGCGTCAATGAGCAAGTCTTCTATGTTCCCGTAAGCATTCTTCTTCATCCCTAAAATCGACGGACAGCAGGCGGCTTGAAGACCAGACAGAATACACGTCAAATATGGTACTGTGCTGTTCATCGGGTTACGCATACTGATTAAAGAGCAGAACCTGCTCCTACTGCCGCATCTTCAGCAATTTGAATACTTAGCAGTTCAAAAGCGCATTAAGCCTATCTGAATGCATACAAAGCCTCACCTGATGCACGAGTAGCGACCCATCCACCTACGGTGCTGAATTCCAGGCTATCTGGCTCGTGGCCAAGGGTGACCCCTAGGCTTCGAAGTTGTTCTTCGAGGACCGCCCCGACAGCTCCTGCTTCTACAGTAAGAAGGAGAGCATCCCTGTCAAGCGAAAGAATTTTCTGCATGTAGCTCAGAGAAACAGTTGCCACCATCCGCTGCTCGTCCTCAGGAACTGCTAAGCCCAACGTCACCGAAGTCCCACCGCCGAACGGAATTAGACAAACTCCGTGTTGAACTGCGCACGCGACGATCACCTCCACGTCCTGAACGCATGTGCCTCCGCTCTCCTTGCCCCTTCCCCACAAAGCGAATGGCAGGCTTCCAGCACAAAAGCTACCCGCAAGGCAGCTTATGCGGGTAGCTATACAGAATGACTGGGAGCGAAAACGGGAAAACGAGCTACACCTGGAACACTTACTTCGTGGCATTTGGGGAAAAGGACTACATCTGGCAGGCGTTCGATCTGCCCGTATCTCAGTGCGAAAATCTCAGCGCACGTATGGCCATGTCCGTGGTAAAGTCTTTCTAGTCCGTCCTCTGACACTTCCACCCCAGGAGCCTGCAGGAGATGAAGGTGTTGCCACGCACGCACCCAATGAGGCTGTACACCGTCGAAGCTACATCTCTGACGCGAATATGCGCATTTACGCTTTAAAATAACAAGCTCAGAAAACTCCCTCAGGCCTCCTGGAGTCTGTATACTTATGCATGCTTGCTTTTCGTGCAGCAACTTTTGCAAAGCATCTTTGGCACATGGCGCCAACAATGCGAATGCATGAGGCATGCGTTTTTACAAAAACACTGCAGAAACACGCGGGCAACCGTCCACTTGAGAGGTCTGAGATAGAGGCAAGAGTGGACGGCATGCTCACGCAGGCGAGCAGTCAAAGGTTAAGGGCCAGAGAACAAGAGGCCTAAGGCAATGTGCACTGCATCCGTGGGCTTTATTGGACTCAACAACCATTGAAGCAGCAGACAGTTATCCATGAGACACCTTCTAACGACCAAAAATGCTAAGCTCCACCAACCTGCGACAGGAGGTCGCGGATGAATTCACTCTTGATAAGGCGCTGAGGGCTAATGATAATTTCTTCCTTGGGTAAGGACTTCGCCTCGAGGTCCAGCCCCTCGATTGAGTTTGTAAACCTTTGCCAGTGCTGGAGCCGTTGGCCGCATAAGGGGTACCTAAACAACGAACACGCATATTCGCGGAAAGGCGAGTCAAGCCAAAGTACAGCCCATAGCCTCGTAAAGTACCCTCTGCGTATTCCCTTCGCTGCAGAGGCGAGAGCCATACGCTGCCGCTCCATGTCCTTGAAATGAATGCATTGCCAATTGAACAGAGCAGTGGCACGACAAAGTTCGCACAATAGCCGGGTGGGGCATGTGACGGCTTCTATGGTGTTCTGTGTTTCTGCACCTGTTGCCTGTCACTGTCAGCGTGGCCTTGTCAAGGAAGTATATATAGGTATCTTTAAACCCCCATCCGTTGGTCTTGCAGACTGCTGCGCGGTTTCGGCCGTGGTGTATCTCGTGGGCGGGCAGACGAAGGGCAGCGAAGGCCTCGGGTGGAAAACGCAAGGGGAGTCGCAGGCTGCTGGGGGACTGGAGGGCAACTGCCTGTTGAGCATTAACCTTCTGATCATTCCCTCGTCGTACTACTTCGGTTGACGAGCTCAGCGTGGAACCGTTATTCCCAGAAGACATTTCGGATTTTACTTCAGGCGGATGCCTCTGGAAGACAAACAACAGAGAACACAAGGCTCCCTCCCAAAAATCCGTAAACAGAACCAACAACACCTGCTGAGTCATCCACGGCACAGTCGGGTTTCCGTTCGAAGTAGAGGCTCTGCCATACGTGCTGAATCTGCGACGGGTGATTGTGAGCAAAGGATAGGGGCCACTGCACGTCGTAGTGGATGTCGGAGGGGCACTTGAGGGCCCTTTGGGGTAGTGCTTACGAGGAAGTTGCTATACCATGAGCGGAAGCACTTGGGAGTCTGCCGTGCTGAGGCTGTAGAAGTCCCTCTGTAGTGGTCAGGTACCCTTGGGAAGGCGTTCGGTGGAGCAAGCCAAATAGCAGAAGGTAACGGTTCAGTTGGCTCTCAGAAGGCGCTAAAGTGCATGCAGGAGGGGAGGTAAACAAAGCACGCGCAACGAGCTTCTGTACGTGCTATTGGTTCGGGAGTTCTTGCAATCCACACGCCCTATCCGCAGCTACCACGGACTATGCATCGCCCGTAAAAATAGAGAGACTCTTGTCCAACTGTGGCGCCGCTTCCTTTGAGATTAGGGATTGGCCTTTGGGCAAGACAGAGGGTGAGCCGTAAGGTTGTTCCAGCAGGAATGGTAGCAGGAAGTCCACGATCTTCTCCTGTTTAATTAAGATAATCAAAATATATAGTTGGAGATAATTTTGCGCAAATCTTTACCCACGTCAATTCAGCCAACCCGCAGTCTCCGAGATGTCGCTGCTGTCTGTGCGGAGCCTCAAGATCGGGTCCTCATCGCAAGCCAAGGTGGATGCGAAGGTGTCTGCCTTCCACCTCATTGGGTTTTACTTTAATATTACTGAATATTGGAGATATTAATGTTGCCCATGCCTCCAGATGGAGGAGCAGTCGCTACTTTCCGGTGCATGATTTGCGCGAACATCCACTGCCGGCCTCCTGATGGTGCCACTCTCTGATTTCAAATAGGAAAGCTGCTTCTCTGTTCGCATATCCAGGAATCATTTCTACTTATCCTTAGGAGTGATCGAGAGGATTCGTAACTCGCAAGGCGTGGGTGCTGTCTCCGCTAGTTCCGTCATGAAAAACCCACTAACAAATGCCGGGTGTAACATGAGTTAGCGCAGAGTTAGCTCAGGAGCCTATCGACAGCTTTGGCATGCTGCGCGTAAGC